TCCAGTTGTTTAGGAGGTAGGAATGAAGGAAATCTAATACATATCAAACGACAGCAAAGTCCAAAGTACGTGGTGTTCATCAAGCAAGTAGGTAGATGTGATTTTAACATACGTGTTCCAGCACAATTACATTTTATAAATACAAAATACCTCAAGAATAAAATGCAAACAATGTAAACTACGCCAGTACTTGCTTAGTCTGAAACATGGCAGTAGAATTAAATATGCTTAAATGCTTTCTTAAACTAGCACCTATCATGAGATTTTCTGCTGTTACCAAACATGCCCATGCTTAGAACTGATATGGCAGCTATGACATAAACTCCCTTGGAGCGCAGACCTTTTGGGTTAGTAGTTACCTCATTTACAAGGCTACCCTATCCTGGACTACTAAATTATGTTGATCTACCCCACTAAGCTAACATCTTCCCAGAATTACTCACATTTCAAAATATAATCTCAATAATCCTTTACCAGCTCCGTTGTCAGATTCGATAATGCATTCTTTCATCTATAACTAGGAGGAGGAAGTTCCAAAACAAACAAACAGGCAGTGGTTCTTCATAACACATTTTAAGCTATGGGGCTCCTACAAAATAATGTAGATGCTCAGAGTTTACAGGGCTCAGAGGAAGAGCGTATGAGTTTTCAGAATAGAAATCCACTATGGTTACTAAATAGAAAGGAAATATGCCTAGCTGAGTACATCTCTAGGATGGCTGAACATTGCAGGATAATTCAGCAGAAATATGATACATAATTTACTTGTTCTTACTCACTTCCTTAGGCATTCTGTTTTGGCTAGAGCTGAGGACAGGTGACAGTTGGAAGGGGGAACAGCCCACCTCTCTGCTGGATGAGTCCCGGGACTCAGCCCGTGGGCTCAGATCTTCCATCCCTTCCTTAGGAGATACTGTAATGTGAGTAGCTCTTTGCTCCCTGCTGTGAGGAAATAGTCAGGAACTGGTCCACAAAATGTGAAATACTAAAAATTAAGGTTAATCATTCCCGTCTCAGTCTGTTGGCCAAATTTGAGCAAAAAATCTTTCATTTTTTAATCCTCTTATTTGAGAAAAAAATTACCATTATTTTTTCAGTATCACCCAAAACTAACTGCACATGAAGTTTCAGAATAATGCATCATTATGATTTTTTTCACTGTCATAATAAAAGAATTTAAAAAAATGTTGATGGCATTCAAAAAAATCAAAACTGCTCTTCTGACCAGCAATCTAAGCACTCCATAATATTTTTAGTGAAGACATCAACCAGAAATGATTGAATCTGGGAGGATCACTCCTCTGTTTCTTTCAAATTCCTCCTATCAGAACTAGAAGCAAGGAGAAATTCCAGAGAAGTTTTCCTCATAAGTCTGCCAGCTGATTCTGCAGATTCAGCTGAATAACAGATTTCTGTGCACTTCTCTGAACAGATCCTCCTAATGACTCCTAACAGGGTGTGAGAATAAAATTAGAAAAGAGGTGGGGTGGACATGATTCAAGGAATGCAGAAACTTGACATATCTGTAGGTATCATTTAATACTTTGCAAGCAGGCACGTATTTATTTTCATCTTGTAGGTGGAAATTTTAAGATGCTGAATCTTGAAATGGATTATAATTGTGTCAACTGAAATTTCATTCAACAGGACTTGGGAAGCAATCCCACCACTTATCATCCATAAGAAATTATTTAGTTTCAGCATAACATAAAGGACACAGTTACTTGGAAACATGGAAGCATGCTTTCAGTCTCCAGAATGGAAGGCAAATTTTAACATTTTAAGAAATCTACAACATTGTTTAGATTGAAGGCAATAATTTTGCCTCCTCTCTTTATTCTAAGAAACACATTCGTTTCCTTTAAATGCTGGGAATTGCCTTTCATTACCAAAATTGAAAGCCTGTTTATGTAGTTTTAGCTCGGGGGGATTACCATCAAGGTGCACAGATCCCACATACTGCTCGAGGTTCAGGGTCATCCGCAGTGCCTTTTTTTTTTCTTTTCTTTTCTTTTTTTTGAAGTACAATGTGAGAAAAATCAAGCCCCTCTGAGGTTTGGAAGTCAGCCCATCTTTATATCATTTTTCTTATTCATTTTCCTGTGGATTAAATCAATCCTCCCACTATCCATAAGAGACTACTGGGATCTTTCCTGTGAAACCCCTTATTTTCCTCTAGCGTACTTCCCCACGATGATCTCATTCTCCACTCATATATCTTCACATTCCATCTGTAGGCTGATAACTCATCAATTTACCCCTTCTTTCATGTCTTGTCTCATTTCATCTCATCCCAGCTCATGTCTCTTCTCTGGTGTTCTGTTGTCAGTTATATTATAACCTAAGCTTAATTCACACCTTAAATTCTCTTCCTTCCGCACGCAATACTTTATTATTTAATATATGATACTGAGGTCCAACTTCTGACCCGCAGAAAAAGGGGAAACAAAATCATTTATCTTTTTGAACATTAGCAAGAAAAAGCAAGAAAAGCAAACTTTCAGACCACAAGTTCTGGAACTTGCAACATGAAGGCAGTCAGTTGATTTTTTTTTTTTTTCTTCTTCCCCAACATCCTCATCATATTGGATTTTACAGCTGATATTTAACCACTGTTGCTACATTTGCTTTGCTCGAGCTTGGGCTGCATAACAGGTACAAAGACATTTTGAAATCCAAACATCATCGTCAACAGCAACCAGACATCACTGTCACCATTCAACACTGAATCAATTTCAAAAAAATAGCCAATACTCCAGCACTTTTTGAAACCATTGCCTTGGTTACAAGATGTAGCAAATAGGAATGAAAGACCTGGCTTATACAATTAACTGGAATAATCTTGCATCATATCCTGTATTAATACTTTTTTTTTTTTTTTTTACTAATACTTCCTACACTCAATATAGAGTGTTTTGGAATGAGACATACTAGAGCTTTAACAGTGAAGTTTTCCACTCTGGAAAGTTCCACTTAAAATGCCATCATTTTCTAGAAATGCCATGTTAATAGACTGATAGAACTACTCCTCTGAAAACTAAAATGAAAAAAAATTTATTGAATATAACAACGCTTGTGAGTAGCTTTATTATAACTGCAATTTATTTAGAAAATACAAAATATTTAGAAGGAAAAAAAGTTTTGCAGTTAAATTTTATGTGCAATTTTTTCCTCAAAGAAGGAAAAAAAAATCCTTTCTAAAGTAGCTTGTAACTCACTGTTATCCAAATTATATATATAGTTTGAGATTTGTAAAAGGAAAATCTGATTTTTAGATTTTTCTTATTTTGAGGAAATCAGATGTGCTAAAATGATCACAACGTGACATTCAAAGCCAGGTCTATTTTCCCCATGATTATGAGTTTTTGAACTAAGTAAGGTCTGCAATTCACATCTAAAATACAGGATAATTGATTTGACCACCAATTTTTCTCCTTTGGCTACAAAACTGTTTCTTAATTTCAGGTTACAGAATATTCTCAGATACTAGTCTTCCTATCTATTCTCAACAGAATTTGGATAAGGCTCATTTGTCCTGTCTTACAGCATGAACTCTTCTGAATGAAACATGTAACTGAGTAGTTAAACACCTTAAAAGTTAAAATGATTTAGATACAATTAATCTTTCTTATAGGAAAATAGTACCACTCCTGAAAGTTGAAGAGAAGAATTTTCTAATTCTACATTGCCAGCTTCTGACAGTAGATTCCTGTTTTTTTCTTCTGTCTCCAAAATCATATTCTGGGGATATTTCTGAAGGCCAGTGATCTGGCTTGAGGTTCAAAAACACTGGGAAGAAAACCAGGAATTTTTGTTGCTGTCATTACATTTTAAGATGATGCTACTAGCAACTGCTTTGCACTGAAAGATCAATGTTACACAAAAAAAACAAAAAACAAACCAAACCAAAAAAAAACCAAACAGCCAGTAAAGAAAAAATAGATAAACGAGACTGCTACACTGTCATTCACTGATCTCACATCTTACATCTGTATTGTGTGTAGCAAAATCAGGTGCTTCAATTCTGCATGCAAAGCATCTGAGGTTCACTCAGATGAAGTAAACTGTACAATGTGAAACCAGCAGTTTAATAGCAAAATTCAAGAGAGTAATCAATATACTGTCCACCAACACGCTGCCAAAATCACTGGAATGCACAAATAATAGAACATGAACTTGAATAATATCTGAAAGCTGGTAGTGCATAGTTTGGGAAGGAAATATTTAGAGTGACTTTGTTGTTCAGTCGTATTTACTTTTCAGACAGTCACATATGGTATAATATTTAACAAGGATGATTTCTTGCATAATGCTGACACAGCTGTCAATATACACCCTTTGGAGGTACCTGTGCTTCTGCTTGTGGGTTTCTTTTTTTCAGCTTAAAATATGTGATTATGAACAACAGTTTGCAATGTTTGTTTTATAATCATTTCATTATAATAATGAGATAAAGTAAGACTGTAATGATTATAATACTAAAACATTTTCTTAGAATGCACATTGCATTGATGTATTCTGTGAACAATACTCTTACCTTTATGCTTGTTAGCAATCCAATTTGCTTCACTAAATTAATCAGTTATAAATAAATAAAAATATAAAAACAGTCAATATCACTACACTATTATTGTGATACAAAAATGTATATGATTACAGGCTGATAAGTCATTCGTTTTCACATCTAAAGCAGATCTGCCACCACCTGCTCACAAGAAAGTTTGAAAAACAATCACACAATCTTTCTCCTTATTTCAGTGAAGTAGAGACTAAACAGACATCTGTACTACTTTTCCCTTTGCACCAATAAAAGAAAGATCTATTTTCCTAAATCTATAAATCTACAACCTTGCTCTAAACCATCCTTGCTATCAAACTAGAAAGCCCAATTTCTACAGTGGAAGAACTGCAAATGCCAAACTTTTTTTCAACTGTGTTTAAGATGTTCATTCTATTTAAATCTTAACAAAATCTTTGGAGTACACAAGGCCTTCTCTCACCTCTGGGCACTCAAATGAGTTTCACCCTCATGACAGCCTCACCTCTGGCTTGCTCAGATCCCAGGATCTAATTCAGTTCTCCTGGGATCATTGGGAATTGACAGTGCCTTCTTCAGATGTTGCCTTTTCACTTTTCTCCAGTGGAAGTCAGGAAAGAGCCAGCTTTATCCTCAGCTCCTTAGATGGCTGTGAGTACTCTGGGTAGTAATAAGGTAAAATCTGACTTAGCTAACAGGTAAGATAGAATATCCAGCAGCCTAAATATGTATTGAACTTCAAGCTGCAACTCTTACACAGTACCTGTTCAATCACAGCTTCATCTGTTAATTGCAGCTTTACTGATTCTTGTGACTTTTTCATCCATTTTATGTTGCTTTATCATCACCTTTTGTGAGTTAACACAAATATTCACCCTCAAGCCTGTAAACTGCGGAGTACCTTACATCATGCAACAACTACTGGTATACATAATAAAATCACAAATACCTGAACAACTCGCAGATCAGTCTCTAGCGTCTTCTTCTTGTTTCTTGAGTTCATTTTGCCAGACTACATCATCATCTTTTTCCAGGCAGCCTGAGACAGATAAAGTGTAACAGCAGAAGAAAAAGCTGAGTACAGATTTAGTTAGAAAATGCAGAATAAACACACCAAAAGCCAAAACATCATAAAATAAACATTTAAGTACTGTTACCCCCTACAGCCTGTTTTACTGATAAATATGACATATCATGCAGAGCAGATAAACAAGAAACAGTAAACAAGCCATGTAATTTCATAGATGATGGAAAATATTTCCACTGTTCCTTTAAGCAGAGTTTTGAAGCTTTTGAACTGAGCTGCACTCAAGACTATTGGCAGTGCTTGATGCATTGCTCAATTTAGATATTCTTTACCCCCCCCATCATTCTCATTTTTTCAGTTGAACCAGAAAAGTACATTAGCTCAAGTGTAATGTCTCCCTTATCATGTACAGACACCTCACTGCGTTAACACTGGTGACCCGGAATATACAGACTGGAGCAAAATTACTCTTGAAACCTAATGAAAACTTTCTCCTATTCAGGAGCTAGGAGATTCAGAAACCATTTACAGCATGCTAAGGGAAAAGTATCTGCCATACATACCAGCATAAACTTGCTCTGAGTAGACTGCTCTGCCAGTTCATACAAGCAGAGAATTTGGGCAATGCATGTGTAACAAACCACCTCTGTGAAATAACTTTATCAAAGTAAACACTAGAGATAGCCCTTTTCTTTCCAAGTCACTGAGAAGTCTTTTTTTGGGAAAGCATCAGATCACTGGTATTAACATAATCAGTACACACTCAAATATTGGAACTTCACGCAGATCTGGATAAAAATTAACTGCATAGTTATTGCTGACATGGCCTACTCAATTTTAGATTCACATTCATCTGAAAAAAAAAAGCAGTCCATGTGATCCGAGTACTAAAATCCCTTATATCCTATCTACTACAAGTACATAACAAAAAAACCATACATATATAGTGCAAATAGCAACTAGTAGATGTGTATAATATTAGGTTTTCATACCTTCATAAGTTAGCAAACACTGAAGGCAAGCTGCCCTATCAACTAGGCACTGCAAGGGGTCTAACAAGCATACGTGTAACTCCTTACCACCCGCTGCTGCTGCAGGCCTCTGCCTCACCTGGTTACAGCAGATTGCAGACCAACATCTGAGGTGCTCAAAGGTCTCACAGCAGCATGCAGGTCTCATTTAAATCCAGTAACAGATGACTGAATCACTTCTATCTGCTTAGTTTCGTCTTAACGGTAACATCAGAATCTGCACAGTGTTCTAAAATACATCTACTGTGCAGGTAAGGGACTCCTGATGTAAGTATTCTTTCATTAATATTGGTAAGTTTTAATCTCTCGTGAATAGTGATGCAAGCCTTTTCAAAAACTTGGGGCACTACGATTTTAGAAGATGTCATTTTCCATAACAACAATTAATGAAGATTTTGGATCCCTCTGAGGACTCCCGAGGCTGACCATCCAAAATCACTAATTATTTTCCAATCTGAAGGCTAGACACCTCAGAGAAAAGTTCTGGAGCGGACACTATTTGGAAGAGATCGGATGATTTACACATCAATGACATCCCACAGAGTTCAAAACCACATCCTTTCCTGGTAGCCAAATTCGGCCGTTAGCAACAAGTACATAATCTCAATAAAGTAAACTGTAGGGCTAGAGCAGTAAAGGACAGATAATGAAAACTCCCTGCACTGAGTAACTGCGGGGAGTCTAAACTGAAGATCTAATAATTGGTCTTATCTCTATCAAGGTGCAACAGAATAAGCTGATAAGTGCAAGAATGTCTGACAAGGCCCTAGGGCTCTTTACGGCTTGCAGTGAAGCTTCATTATTGTCAAGAATTTTAAGGATCATCTCATGTGGAGAGAACAAGAGGAATTTCTTTTTCCTGCCATGCTGCTGATGCGGATATATGCAAGGTGCACTTATGTAGATAAGACACGCTTCTCCCTTCATACAAGCCACAACAATGCTGAAGTTTTACTGTTGGGTTCTCCTTTACATGTCTTCTCAGGCATGCCAGCAGCAGGTGCATGAAGAATGGCCCCTGGTTGAGCTGAAGGTCTGCTGTCTTGTGGTGCAAAGAGCCCAAAGGAAAACTCACTTCAAAGAGAGAACTCCTCCTTGAAGTTCCTACATTTCCATCTGCTTTGACCAAGCCTTATTTAGGACACATTAGTATAACACATTAGTATATTCTTGCAAGTGTTTAGATTAAGAGATTCATTAGTGCTTATGAAGATCACATCAGTAGCTAACATTTCACCTTTCAGATTGAAGGAAACATTTTGCGCAGTGGGAAAATAAGCGGTCCTTCCTTCCTCAAGCTTTTACATAAGCTGATTACTACAGGTAGGAATGCAGGCACACACTTTGTGTCTTTCTGTGTATGATGCCTAAGTGTCTGGGCATCAGGTTTATGAAACTCTTCCTTCAAAACCACAGCAGTTTCTCTCCGACATATGCAAATGATATGGTACCATGACAAGCAGAAGTCCATTTTGCACCACTAATATCAAAAGATCCTTCTTTGTCTTCTGAAAGCGTTTCAGTGCATTTAGTTTGCAAACAACTGTGCTCTGTTCTGATCCAGACCTTCATAAGACACTTTGCCTTTTAATAAAAGTGGCAGGGAGACTGCCACAAAAGAAGCAGAGCACTAAAATAATGGGACTTAAACTGGCCACACCTGAATAACAGCACAGTTTGCTTATGATGAGATGCAGCTACCACATCATCTGTTACCTATTCAAAGCACCAGTTCCCTTAGGATAAGCTACAATCAAGGTATATGAAGATATTTAAACAAGCAAGCTGTAGCTGACCGAAACCACACCCCACAAGGCAACAGAGTGGAGACCCCACTTTGAGATGGCCGTACAGTTTAAAGGATGCATTAACATCACGTTTATGTTGCCTTATAGTATTTCAGGCATGTTGAACTCACAGCCCATGGGCTACATGCGGCCCAGCACAGCTCATAGTGCAGCCTGCTCCCTGCCCAGCGCCACCACTGCAGCAGCTCTTCCCCACCAAGCCAAACATCAGGGCACTATGAACCCTATCTGGGCTGAAACCAGGGCATGGGATGCCATGCAGAGCAAGCTCAAATTATGGCAAATGAGTTGCTGCACTTTGATATGCTGGCTGAACACAGTCCTGTGAACAGCAAAAAAATACGAAGCCGTGCTTTCCATTTTGATAAAAACATCTGAGGTTTCAAGATTGCTGAAAAAAAAAAAATCATGTTTTTTAATTTGCAACTCTGTTTTCATTCAACATAAATGCATTATTTGTGAATTTTCAGACGGAATGCATAGAGTTGCAATTAAAAACTGGATCACGTCTCTTTACCAGACTTTTGTATGATCTCTCTTACCAGAGAGAAACATCCCTCACTTCACTGTTACGCTTTATTCGTGCCATCACTTTTTGACATCACTTTTGTGCATTTGTGAACAACTGTTTTGAAGGATGAAGCATGGGAAGAGTAAAATCTCATAAAAAATATCTACTGAACACCTTGAGAACTAACTAAGAATTGCAGTCACTGCCATTGAAAGAGACTGATGCATTGGTTTCACATAACCAAGCTCAAATATCCCTCCAGTTTCATGTTTTATTGCTCTCTTTTTTTATATGTTTTAATAAAAAACATTAAAGAAGAAAATGTTTTGTTATTTTTTATACACATTAACTGTAGTATATATTGAATGAGGGCTGCTCTGAAAGTAATGCCTCCTCTTTTATTATATTGGCCCACAACATCAGAGGCAGATGGCGGTATGGCAGCAGAGGTTGGCCAGTCCTGACAATATTCTATCATGTTTTGTGTGACAGATGGCAGCAGAGGGGCGATCTGACAAAATGGCATCTGACACAAAGGTGTGAAAATGAATTCCTCCACGCAAAAGAAAATGGTACCCACTGGCATTCATTGATGCTTACTGAACATCTGTGGAGATCCAACAGTGGATGTGAGCACAGTGAGGTGGTAGTGCATTTCAGCAGTGACAACAGTAGGTAACCTCCACTAGTACAGAATTTTACAAGCACGGCGCTTGTAAAATGAGCTCTTGCTCATCATTAGCAAAAATGCATAGCTAATTGTGATGACTATGTTGAAAAGTAGTGTTTTGTAGCTGAGAACTTGCTCAATCACAGTTACTGTGCTCTTTGTAACTGTTGATGTTTCCATAGAAAATAAATAGAAGGCATTACTTTTGGAGTAACCTAAGTAAATCCTTTGTAACTACATATAATTCCTCTTCACTCAGGGCCACACTTGCAGCCCAGGCAAGGCAAAAGGTTGGATATTCATGCAGAATCCAGTTCAGAAAATAACAGTAAGCTTTGTTTATGAGGATCATATATATCTACAGGTAAAATGTGCTTCATTGTCCTTCTATTTTAGTTCTAATTTAACTGCTTCTTCCTTCTCCATCAGTGTTTTGCTGAACAAGCAGGGCAAATGCTTTAGCATTGAATCTCAACTGCAATATCCTACGCAGTAATTAAGCAAGCTTTCCACCAACAGCAATTCTCGTTTTACAGGTCATCTCTTCAGTTATTTGGAGGAATAGGAATGTTTCAGAAAATCCTTCATATAGCTGTTTTCAAACCAACTACAGCATAGGTCTCTTGTAGAGTTAAAACATATTGACTGTAGCTGGGTCGAGTGAACGGTTATGCCACGTGATATTGCTTTCAAGTTTACTGATGCTCTCACGCAGTTCTGAGCCTTTTTTTGTGCACGTGTTTTCTGATAGAGACAAAAGAAACCATGTTAGAAGAGATGCTAATGGGAGGTCTGGGTTACCCTACAATCTCCTTTCTCAAGGTGATGACAGATTTTATCATTCTTACTTTGTGACTAAGTTTTATTAGTTGAGACTATAGTCAAAACTTTGAAGTCTAACTTAAATCACCCCAATATCAACCAACAAAACAAAATGAGAGCTGCATTTACACAACCTACAAGAAATTATTTTGGCAGGCCATAGCACACAG